TACCATATTTAAGAATTTCATCAACAAGTTTTTATTAATTTTCAACTACCCATATTTTATATTTTCATGAGTCATTATACATTGAAAAAATGAATCATCAGTAAATATAACATCATGCTAATAATCTTTGCCTACAATAAGAAATTATTTAGCTGAATTTAATCTTGTAATTTTAAGTGTTTTAGATAATTTTGGGGTATTGTTTTGATTGGCGCCCCATGATCGATTAGGCGCCCAAAATTTATACATATAAATTAAAAAAAATTCATTAAAACTTTTTTAAAAAAATTTAAAAATCTTTTATGATCTATGAAAAATTATTAGAAATATTGGAGGAGGAAGAATCTTTCTTGATCTTTCTAGAAGAAAGTGGTTACTTAAAACCTATGGTTGAAAGACAGTGTAAATTTTGCGGTAGCAGCAGACTGTTAATAAAGTCAAGAAGAAGAGTCTAAAATATGTATTTTTTTCGATGCAAGTTGTGTCGAAGAGGATATACTCTCTTTGATAATATCTTTTTTGTTATGAAGAGGGAAAAAAATGACTCACTGCTTTAGTTCAAATATTAGTAAAGTTGATCTATCTTTATTTTGAGGAAAGGATAGTAAAATATATCATGTCTACCACTTAAATTAAAGGTAGTAAAACTGTTACTAATTAGACAAACTACATAAGGTTGAAAACTTATGATCATATCATGAGTGAAAAACTTTGGGTGAAGGTAAGGTTGTGCAAATCGATGAATCTTTGTTTAGAGGTTGTTGAAAGTACAACCGTGGAAGACTTCTTTTGGAAGACTTTATAAAGAATAATAGTGATGCTGGCCCTAAAATAAATTATGGCGAACGAATAAATGGATTATGGGTTTTCGGCATGACTGAAGAAGGGTCTAGAAAAATCAAAATGTTTGTTGTAGAAAGAAGAGATCGCAACACTCTACTTTCTCTCCTAATTGTGTATATTGATTTAAAAACCACTATTCATAGTGATGGATGGTAGGCGTATTCTGGATTGAATATTGTATTTCACGACCATAAGGTCGTAAATTATTCTGAAAATTTTGTTGACCTTAAGACCCGCTGTCATACTCAATTAATTGAGTGTATTTAGGGTCATGCAAAATTGAAAATAATTAAGAATAAGAGGGGAACTACCTTATCATTGTTGCAAAGCCATTTGTGTTTTTTCTGCTTCTGTTACTTATATAGAGATGAAGCATTTGAAAAATTTTTAAAAATTATTAGTAGAAACAATTAATAAAATTCTTTATTATTTTTTTATTTTATCAACAACCCATACCCTCTTCCCTTTTTGGGGTAAGGGTTGTTAAATAAATATTTTTAATCTTCTAAAAATTTTACTAAAAAAATTTATTATATAAATTTGGGACACCAATCGAAACGGTAACAATTTTGGTTCAAAAACTGGTTTAATACTACTAAAACCTAATTTATTCAAAACACTTCTCAATGTTTTATCTGTTATTTTTTATCTGTTAAATTTCTAAACATCTTATTAATTTAGGTGTTGAAAGTTTCTTATTTTTATTTTTACGTTTTTAATTATTTCGTAATCACTTTTGTTAAGTTTTGAAAATTTACCTGTACCAATTTTAGGATTTGTTGTATTATAACAATTGTATTTTGAAATGATTAATTGATAAGAAGATAATGGAATATTAAGTTTTTGTGATATTTGTTTAAATGTAAAAATTGAATTTCTTAATGCAATTACATGTCTTTTTATGTTAGATTGGTAGACTAATTCTCCCTCAACTCTCGCTTTATATGATGCCAGTTATGCTCATCAATCTTTTTAGAACTGTCATCGTGCTTAATATCTTTCTCATCATAATTATCAGTATATAATAAATCTTTGTTAATCATTTTATTTATTCTTGGGATTTAATTAAAAATTTGTTTAACAATCATTATTGATTGATTTGACACTTTGTTTTCTTTAACTGAACTTAATCCCCATAATGACAGTGAATAAACTTCAGGTAACATTTTAAAAAATTTGAATAATGCTTATCGAATTTGAGTGTGTGTTTTTTTCTAAATATATATATTAAAAATTTGAAGGATGATAAATTTCATAAACTTATTATATTTTCCATTTTTCAATGTCCTCATTTTTTAAAAACACTATTTAAAAAGAGTATTTTTTATTTTTCAATACATAAAACTTCTACCATACTTTTTACACATTATTTTTTAATAAAAGATTTTAAACATATCTTTAAAAATTATTAATTTTAAATTTTTATTTTACAGTTTTATATGTCCCATACTGTAAATGCCTATTCATTGATGATATAATTAATAATTTATAAATAAATTTTCTAAGTTAGGAACTATTCTGGTTGTCGAATACTTAATTAAGTTAAAGAATTAGACAAACATACAGCTAAAGCCATATTCTATTCTTTTAAATTTAATGGTTGAATTTAAGGCTAAAATTAGTAAGTTTATAGATGAGAAAATTATTTTTCATAACAATATTCTTTCCTTATTTTGTTACTAAAAAACAAGATGGAGATCTACGTCTAGTTACAGACTACGAGAAACTTTATTCTGTAACAGAAAATATTTACATTCTATTTCTAATTTAAACCAACAAGTTAACTCACTATTTAGATGTAAGGAGTTTTTCATTAATAGATCTTAATTTAGGTTGCTATTAAATCAAAATGAATGAGAATAACATCCAAAAGATAGCTTTTACATCGCGAATAAGTAGCTAAAAATCTATTAAAATACCATTTAATATTTCCATTACGCTAATTATCTTTCAACAAGCCATGGATAATCTTCTATCAGATTTACCTTTCGTCTGAATATATCTAGTTATATCTTAATAGTATATTAGAGTACCTTTGAACATGAAGATTACATTAAACAAGCGCTAACTAGGTTAAAACCACATAGTATTACAATAAATAAAATGTAGATGGGTTAAACCAGAAATAAAATATCTTGATCATATAGTCGATCAAAATGGTATCAAAACCATAATCTTCAAATTATTTAAAATATTGTCATAAAAGCATCAAAAATTATTAAGCAAACCCAGAGATTATTTTAATTTTTAAACTGATTTAAAAACCTTATTCTAGATTTTTCAACCAAAATTTTACCAATTACTTTCTTATTAAGAAATAGTAATTTTTTTAACTAAAATCAATACATCAAAAGTCGTTAGAAAATATGCTTTGGTCAATTCATAATATGTTAAAACTACATCATCTTAATATTAATATACCTTTTTAACTTTATATGAATGTATCAGATATTAGTTTTGAAGGAATATTAAACAAAATAAAAAATTTTTGGTATCTACTGCAAGAATGAAATCCATGTCTGCAAAAATACACAGTTTTGAAAAAAAAGCATTTGCAATAGTTGAATCATTGATATATTTTAAGAATATTATATATGGAATTAAAAACACCGTTTAACAGACCATTTAAACCTTGAAATCCTGAGTACAGCGTAAGTATAGAGAATTCAATGATGGAAAATTTTAATTGAAGAATTCAGTATTTAAATAAAATTCATTAAAGGTTCTAAAAACCAAACAGCAGATTATTTTTCAAGGTGTAATTTAATCTTAGAATTTTTTAAAAAAGAGAAAAAAATTTCAAAAAACTATAAGAAAGTTTAATGAAGAGCTTATTCATCCCAGAGCCAAAAAGTTGTTTAACACAATAAAAGAACTCTTACCTAATATCGAAAGAGGACAAATCGAAGATTATATCAATAAGTGTAAAGTCTGTCAAGTTGAAAAACATACATCTTACCAATATGGAATATTTAAAAGAAAACTTGTGGTAGATAAACCTTGGAGTATCATCAGTATAAACTTAATTGATCATATAGAACTTAGTAATAGTTTTAAGATAAATCTACTGCATATTGTTGATCATACATTTAAGTATTAGAACTGCACTTACTACCAAGAACAACAGCAGAATTAGTTGTAAAATTATTGAATTTGATTAGTTATTATGTTATCTACTACCTGGTAAAATAATTACAGATGTTAGTAAGCAATTTATCTCTAATAAATTTAAAGCTATGGTACTTACTTACAATATAAAACATCAGTATACAATACTTTACAATCCACAAGGTAACTTAATTATTGAAAATATGACTCATAATGCTACGTATCATTTCTCACTTAGATGTGCACCAATGTAATTAGCATTCAATAAAAGTAGATACTACAGAGACAAAATTGAAAATGTTGATGAACTTCTTAATATAGTAAATAATTAGAAAAAATAAATTAAAATATAAAGAAGTTTATGTAAGAAACAAAAAAGCAGGCAAGTTTACACTAGTATTAATTAAACCATATAAGGTTATAGAAGATAATCTATACTACAATTCACTTACTATTGACAGAGATGGAAAATCTTACCAATAGAGTTATAGAGAAGTTGAACCTTCTAAGGAATAGGAGGTTGTAATATCCTGTACAACCAATAAAAAAATAATTACAAATTACTAATATTATACGTGAAACTTAATTTAAAACTATAAAAAGAAAATTAAATAAATAAATTATGGTTCATAAAGAACATTTTATTATTAACACTAACAAGCGCTATTTCAAAGACTGTCTAGCCATAGGGCACGACATAATAGAAAATGATTTGTCAAATATTAATACGACAATACCAAAATTTTTAAAAAATATTAACAATCTACTTTTAAAAAAAGACCGTTTTTAGTAAAAGTTTTCAGATAATTATAAAAATGCTGTGTTTATAATAAATCAATTAATAGAAAATTTAAATTTCATGAATGAATTAGAATTATTTAGAGTTTAACTAGAATTTCATCCCTAAGTAATTATTTGTAAAGCATACTATATTTAAAGACATATTTTTTAATAAATTTTACTAGATTGTATTTTAATTGTTTTTAAAATCTATTTAGATCAATTGAAAAGGTATTGTTTTAAAAGGTAAAATAGTCATAGGTAACATAATGAAAGTATATTTATATGGTATGAAATGTTTAAGTCTGATGTTTCAACTTCTTTATAAAAAATTGAAGGATTTCATTACATATTTTTCTTATTTATTAAACCTTGTATTATCAATGCTTCATCTATTTAGATTTTTAGTAAAATGTTTATCGAGAAATAATTTTTATACTTTTGATAAAATAGAAAGATTTTTAACAAATCACAAAAATTTTATAAAAAAGGTTATAAAATTAATTAAAAGATTGTTTATGGTAGTTAAAAAAAATAAATATTTTACTATGATAAATTATTAATACGAGATGTTTTAATAAAGTTTGATATTTAAATTTTTTTATCTCTTAGTTTTTTAAAAACTTATATAATGACATAATAGGAAGTCTCAAAATTTATAATAAAGTTTTAAAAAATTATACAAGAGAGTTTAGAAAGATAAAAATTTTATTTAATTTTATCAAATATATTTTCAATTAAACTTTCAACATCTAAACTATTAATTCTCTCTT